AACCTATAAAATGTACAAAATCAGAGAAACTGATCATTTAAAGAGGTTCCTTCATTTTTTTCAGAGCTGAATATTAAATAAGTATATTGTGTAGATCGATTGACATACCAAAACAGTAAGAACTACAAATGTAGTTCTTACGTTTGGTTTTTTCCGTCTGGGTTTCTGGTTTTTGAATTGCAGACATTACAGCTATGTCTTTTGTTAGATATTTTCTACAGTTTATGTAATATTCAGCTTTTAGCAATAATTTTTGGTCCCATTAAAATCCATGGAACATCCCATAATTTCAGAAAAAAAAGTTTGCTCTGTCAAAGCTTATACTTCCAAATACTCACACCTTGAAATGCCTTTCAACCTTTACAATGTAGTCAAACACTTCAACTTCTTCTGTTTATTTCAGTGTTTTCACATGTTTTACAGATTTAATAACACTTAGGATTGCCACATCTTTGATGATTGAGAAACCAAACCAATGCTTTAAGCTTAAAGTTTTTTAAATGTATTTATTTTTTTGATTCAATTACAATAATTCCCTACAAAGTGATAACAGAACTAAGTTTTATTGTGATATTGCACAAACACACATTAAACCAAAGTGTTAGTTTAAATGAACTTGTCTGTGTCTTCTCAGTTTGTGTCAGTTGCAGAGGTCGGTGTTGCAGCAGCTGGCAGATGACAGGCCAGGATAGTTCACCTTCCTGCAGTCACTTTCTCTGTAGCAACCCCTGAAGTAAAAGGGCTCTGTGAAAGCAAATGCAAAAGATAAAGAATATTAAAAATGTTTCATCATGACTTTACACAAGTGTGTCTTAACACACTAACACTGGGTTAAGCGGTTCTTAACCTGGTCTAGCATGAAACTTACGTGGTACACCGTAAAAGCTGGCACTGATGCAGACACTGTCAGAGGTGATGCAGGTCTCTATAGAACTTGGACATCGTCTTTTACCACCACAATGACACCTCAAGGCTTCATCTGGAAGAAAAATCCTTTTTATACTTAAACCTTCATAAAAATGAGCAAAAGTACATGAAACAACCAAATATGTGCATCTAAAGATACGTTCACACTGCAGCCTGAAGTGAACCAACATGAATAATCTCAGAATTCTGACTTTAATCTCCGAGTTCTGAGAAAAAGGTATGTCGCGTATCATTGACATTCAGGTCCCATTTGAATAGAAAATCTATATTGTACAGACTGTCATAAAAAGATCAAATACAGATCACGTAAAGGGATACAATGGCTGCAGTGTGAACGCAACCTAATAAACAGTTATACATGTGACAGAATCTCAGGTCACTTACTTTGGCTGATGAGCAGCAGCAGGAAAACAGCAAAAAATACAGCCTTCATGTTTCACAGTCTCTGTCTTGTCTGTGCAAGTTTCTGGAAAACAAAGAAAAAATGCAAGAAGATTATTATCTCTATTACTGCTCCAATTATTAATTGTAAAATATAATCCAGAGATAGAAAACACATGCAGCTAACCTGATAAATTGTCCTGCTGGAATGTGAAGCCTGTCAGATCAGAGGAGTCCTTTTATTGTATCTTAATTGCACAAGCGACTAATTTTTTTATGTTTCTAGAGTGTTGCAATGCTGGGCCCGGGTTTCAGGAAAACACATATTTACACAACTGTGTCACAAACAAAATGTCCCATTATTGATTATTTTGTCAGTGCAAGCACATCTCTGTGTAACCAAGTGAGCAGTAATGATTTTCTTTTTTCTGTGTGAGGAAATCTGTTGCATAAAAACACATCTGACTCAGAAGCCACACAAAAGCACGGATCGTCTTTAGCTGACATGTTTTTCAGCAGAATTGTTTGATGTTTTCAAGAGTTTTCTCTACTTATCTCGTTCTATCATCACAATATAATCTTTGTTTTTCATTTAAATACGTAAATGACAGATGTTTAACTCACAAATTTTGAATGAATTTGGCCTTCAGTACAAAAGTGAAGGACATCTAAATAAAAGAAAATGTCTTCAACTTTTCCCAAAATGCTGCAAAATAAGAATAAAACAAATTATCATATTTATCCACACTCCTTCACTGACTTCTTGTTAAATTTAGAAAGTAATTTTTAAAATGTAAAAAAGAAAAAAAAAAGAGTCGGACATTAGTACTGTTAAGTTAATTATTAGCAGACTGTTCTTGTTTTTGATTCAGCTGTGTGTTTTTTTCCTGATTTTCACAGTCCCACCTACCTGGGAAATTTAAATGACTGTTTCAAAGTCAACATAAAAATATCTTTATTTGAATGAAAGCAAAGTTCAATTTCAGGTTTTCAATTTGTACATGATGTTCTAGCTAACCTCTGTAGAGACATATCATCTTCAAAAACCCTTTTTTATTAGCAGAATTTCTTTAAGATACTTCTTTAAGATACTTGACATGCCTCATACTCCTAGTATGAGGCATGTCAAGATAATTTCAGAAAATTCTGCAAACCTACTTTATTAACGCAAAATGAGAACTTGTTTTTAAATTGTATTTTTGTGGACTAAAGAAAGAAATGTTTTTTTTTATTTCTGAAGTAAAGAAACTTGCATCGGCTTTGACAACTTTTATATCGACGAATGTCATCAAGTATTATTAGACTAAAACTGTGAATCCTTTGTTTTCGTTTGAACATAACCATTCTACATCAGGAGTTGCTGTAGACAAAATATTTTTTCTTTTTTAAATGATTTCAGCTCAATCAGGTAGGAAGGAAGAAAAAGTCAAAGAATAAATAATTTGGAGTAACTCCAAACCATCCAGAACAGAGAAACATTAAAGAACAATTAAAAACTACAAACAATATTGAAATAAAACTGATAAAAACTACGAGAACTAATACAATACACATATTCAGACTACAACACATCTTGTTAGAGCTCTCAGTGTGTGACGAGGCATGTATCGTACATTTAATAACTGAAAATTTAATGTTTAAGTTTAATGTTGACAATTTACCAAAATAAAGTGAATTTATTGATTGACTGATTTAAAAAAATGAATCATTTTTTAGTTTAAAGTGATCATCTGGGATACACCTGTGCATTTTACCAACACACCGAAAATATGTCAAAATAATAAAAGCTGTAATAATAAATTAAGTAACTTTGATCTTGTTTTGATTTTCTGTTTCTTTTTAGTAAATAAAAATGCTGTATGCAGTAAAGTGTACTGAAGAACAGTGAACTGAATCACATTTTTATTGTGTGCATTTCAACACACGATGGCGCAATTGCACAAAAACAACTGAGTTTCTCTCAACAAAAAATGGCAATAAAAATAGAAATGAATAAATTGCTTTATAGAGTAATTTAAGAACTAAATGTAATAAAGTAAAAAGAAAAACTCTCATTTCATATGATCTTTTAATGTTTAATAGAGTGAAAAAGTCTCCAGATGATCTGATGTCTCAGCATTTTTTAGCACAAACACGTATCATGTTAGTCTGACTATTTTAGGAAATGCAGCTTAAGAACTCAAATTCCCAGCAATTTTTTTTTACATCTTTCATAGATGTGAAAAAATTGAAAGACTAAAGATTGAAAGAAAAAAAGATTAAAGAGTTATAATGCAGCTATTCCACAAATTCATTTGCAAAGTTTCACTCAAAACACTTTTTTTTTTTTTGCTTTCTGCAAAGAAAGCTTAACTTCAAGGCCAGATACAAGAAATAAAAAACAGCTTCACTATTGTTTACGCCAACAGAAATGTTCAAGGTACAAAATATAATAATTATAGGAAATTTTTTTTGTAAAAAAAATTGACTGGAATCATTTATGTTATTACTCGTGTCAAGCTTGGGGTAAGACTGTTTTCATCACATGGCTGCATTAAAGGTTTAATCCCCCCAGAAACAAGTTAAACCACTCCTTTAATCACTTTCTGTTTCCCTCTGTGGGCTTTGCTGCTGCTTTCGTTTGAATCTCCCTCATTTCTGGTGAGTTCTGCTTAATTTCTGGTTCTCAGGGCCCGAATCTGTTCCGCTGTTTCCTGGTAAGTGTATTAATCTCTGGTTGTCCTCAGCTTCCCTGAGTTTTTCTCACCATGGCTCTGTTTGGTTCTTTCTCAGATTCTCACTGTACTCTCAGTGATTGCTTGGCCTTGGTTTCATTTTTTCCATCTCCGTGAGATGGCACCGTGTCACGATGCAGGCGGCGAGACAAAATAATACCCCATCGTATTATCATTGCACTGGATCCGCCTTTCATGAGCTGAGATTACAGTGCATCTTAATGTATCTGATACGCCAAACTAATCTGATCTGTTTAAATCTTAAGCAGTTTTACTGTCCTGCCTTTTTGCCCCCCCCCCCCAAAGTCTTCTCTTTCCCCTCTTGAATAGTCTTTGCATAGTCATCTGCAGGACTTAACTTTTCAATTTCTGGTATTCATTTGTTGAAATGAGAAGAAATAAACAAATGGCTCTGCTGGTATATTCTTCTGATTGATAAAATATAATCTCTCCAAAACTATTTTAATAACGTGATAGTTACGGAAGTACAGATGACTGTAGATTTAAAAAAATAAACTGAAGAAAATTATATCACAAATTATATGAACTGTACTGCCTATCAATCCTCAATCTGAAAAATAGAAAACACTGGTCAGCAACCAAAAAGTTGTCTGGGGTTTTTCAGCTGTTTTAGGATAATTTTGATGTGCTGAATCCAAAAATCACATTAGTTTTGCTCAGAAAAGTCAACTTTCTGAACTATGGAGCAACATGAGCATCTCTTCAACATAAATGTAATTGTAAAATTAATAATATTCTTCTAAAAAAGGTCTGACAAGTTTCCCAAATATAATCATGTAAAACTTTACTCATAGTCTAACAGGATAAGTTTGCTTTGGCCAGATTTTGGGAGAATATTATTATTTTGTCTTTTTTCTTTTTTCAAAAAACACTTTGAGTCAAACATGAACCAAAGACTGAATTAGTGCCCCGAAAATCTTAAGCATAATGCAGAATCTGTGGTCTACTAATTGGCTCAATCAGCAGCATAATGAACATTATTAGGCAGCCAACTCAACACAGCAAAGATACTCAGGATGCGATCTCAGTTTTTTATTTTGACAACCAAAAGGAGAAACTTTTCAGAAAGAATAAAATACTCTTAATTAATCAGAAAAATTTGTGCTTCCCTCTGAAGAATTTGTGTGGATGAACACGATTTAAATGTTTCAGTTTAATATGGACGTTTATTTTGTATTCTTCAGCAGGTGTGTATTTCGGATGCTTATGAAAGGAGATATGGTGAAATTTTAATTTTAAGAATACTTAATTTGACAGTGTGGAAATGTATCTACATTTCCAGATAATTCGCAGGGCACAGAAAGTAAAAGTTCAGTGGATATACAAAAGAAAATGCTGAATTTTGGAAAGACATTCAATAAAATAATAATTTTAAAAAAACAGACACATATTCATACATGCAAAGTGAGGCATGCCATTGTAGTTCCTCTCTATATGAAAATATCCAATAGCTCAGGCTCACTTCCTGCATAAATACAGTATTTGTGTACATAATCAATAATAGATGTAGAAATGTAGAATGCTTACACACTTTTCCTTAGGAAAAAGAATAAACAACTTTTACCATGCAAGAGAGGTAACAGGTTTCATAGATGGCAAAATGATTGAGGATGCTGGAAAAATATACAACATATATACTGCAGCTCCTGTGGCGGAGCTGAAGACACACTTCATAAAGCCGATATAATGCACAAAAACATGCTGTTGCATAGAAAGTGACAAATGCAGGAGCCCAAGAGTTATAAAATAATAAAAAGTACAGATTAGCAATCTGTTAGAGTCGGTTTAAATACTGTATGAAGATGCATGTCAATAAAGCGACAATAGATGCGTTTCCAATACAAATGTGCACGAAAGTTTTCTGATAATCTGCTGATGTCGAAAAAAACACAATTTCGCAATTGAGGCGTTAACATAAAATAAGAAATTGAATTAAAATCACACATAAACAGGCGTGTTTATGTGCTGTCATTAAAATTTCAGCCACTGCACTTTTATCAGATATTTTATTTTTGCTGTGGTCTTTCACTTTCAAACATATGCGACTTGTATGCGACCTCCTGTGTGAACCGCAAACGACCTAAGAGTGTCCCGCATGCGCAGTAGAGGGTGGGATGACGTCACAGAGAGCGTGCTCAGTGTTCGCGGAAGTAAGCATGGATGCTAACGGTGGAGAATAACTTATGATTTTGAAGTTGTCCGACCGGAGCCAGAATATTAACAACGTAACCCTCATTATAGTCCGCATAGTTGTGGTTTTTATTCCCGATTGGGCGTATCAGGGCGCAGAATAGTGACGTTTGTCGAGTACTAGTGACTTTCAGGACCTGGCCGTTGAGACTCGGGTCTCGTTTGAAAAGATTGGATTCGTATCGGGTATCCAAGTGGTCTGGCTTGAATTCGGAAAAAAAGCCTACCTGTGTTCTTCAGACTGTCATGAAAATATCAGATACAGGTTGTGGGAGCGACAAGCTCCTTACATCACCGGGCGGCTACATATATTATATGAAGTGTTTTGATGAAATTGAAGTCGGCGTGTTTACAGAAGAGCTACAGATTCAACAAACTGATGTTTTGATTAATTGTCCAACGCTGAGAGCTCTGGTGGAGCCAGCTGCAGTTTCCACAAATAAGTGTGCTGCTGCTGTGTACAAACCGCTTGGATTGGGAAAAAGTTTTTCCATTTCAGTTTTGCAAAAAACCACCAATTTTGATAGGCTCACAAATCTACGGAAGCTGAGAGAGGACGATTTGATAAATACTTTTCCCCAATGATTTTCTCAAGACAAGGAGTTCATTTTTTTTCTGAGATAACTTCCTGTCTTCCAAATACACTTTTCCCCGATGGTTTTCTAGAGATAAAGAATTTGTGATGGTTTTTGAGACATCAGGTCAGGAGTTTTAAATCTCATTCCAGTCTTTAAATGCATGCCACATGCAATTGTGCATGACAGCATGCATTGAAGGATGTAATGAGGTTTAACGTTTTATGGTCAGTGGAAACGCAACTACTGTTGCCAAGTCTAACTCAAAAGTGGACGCTTCAGTCTGTGAGGTCCAGGCACCAGGACTGCTCGGTGCTCTGAGTTTGACCGCCGATGCTGGACCTTCGTGATGACATGCTCTCGCTGTCCCTACTTTCCACAGAGTCCCTATTGCCCAGCAGACACTCCAAACTGGTGTGCTCTGAAGCAGAGGGGTCGCCCAGTGTGAGACGGGGCGCCAAAACATCCATCTGTGGCGATCCTGAATCCAGAGAGGAGTCGGACGGTTGGCCGGGTAATGCAGGCGGTGAAGAAGAGGCGCCAGGGAGGGAGGAGTGCGAGTCGTGGATCTGGAAGGTCGGATTGTGACCCAGATCATCACCGGAGGTTTGAGGCGTTGGGTCCAGCAGGCTGCGTGTGGATGTGCCTGCAGGAGCGCCGGACAGAAGGCAGGTGAATTCATCACTGTCACTGGAAGGCTGCAGACGCAGCGTGGGATGGGACTGGCTGATGGAGGTTGGACCAGCACCGAGAGGTCGGGACTCAACCCGACTTGAATGACGCGCCAAGTCAGGACTTCCACTGACCTGAAACAGAGACGGGCTGGTCCATACAGGCAAAGTCATGCTCTCAGTGCTATGGCATAAACCTAACTTAGATGAAGAGTTTAGTGAAAGTCGCAGACAAGCATTAGAGATTGGTGTGGTAGACTGGTTGCTATGGGACTGAACAGTTTCGCTGTAGCTCCACTGGGTAGCGACTGATGCACTTTGGTGGCCCCTGGCTTTGAGACTCTGCGGACTGGTATAAAGGCAGTAAGCTGTGGAGGTGCTGGGAGCCATGGGAGAGCTGGACACCGTCTGAGCAGAGTGAGGACTCGAAAGACAGGAGGTTTTGTGGTGGTGATTTACGGATAAATGAGCCTGGAGGAGATGCGTCATGCTGTGAAGGCTCTTGGTGAGTTCTGATACTTCCTGGTTTAATACGCCCACCTGTGTAGAGCACATATATACGTTATTACAACTAAAAAGCTTTTTACAATAATGTCAAGCAAAGTAAACTTAAAAGAATAGTTCAGAATTGTTGAAGCAAGGTTTGAATTCAGTTAAATCCAGTTGGAGGCTAAAGCTAACAGCTTCTCCAATAGGGGACCCAGATAAAATGGATTTCTGCAGTCATTAAACCAAGTCCAATCTCAAATACATCACTGAGGTCAGTAGTGCCTGCATCTGCATCGCTGTGCAAACCTTGACATCTTTCTTTAAGTAAAAAAAAATAGTGTGATTTTATGATCTAACCCTTCTCTACTATTAAAATTGTGGAGAAAACATTTTAATCATTTGTGTCAAAGCATCTGTGTGAGTCTGTGGGGATAGGAAGGCCAGTCAGTTTACTTTTATTTATCAGCTTAGCGCTAAAAATTTATGAGTGGTTGGAAATTAGAACGAAGAAAGAAAACTCTCCAGGTTTCACCTACATTCAAAAGTGCTATTAACAAACATGGAAGTAAAAGTGGATCAAAACCAAATATTTTTTAGGTTTGGTAATTGAATTTAACTCAGATTGTATGGAAGGAGGAAACATATTCCAGTAACGATAAAAAACCCTGAACTACTCCAAAACAGTTTAAATCCTTCAAGTCTTCCCAAAGGAGCAAAAATTAATCAGCGTGTGTTATTGAAGTTTATCTGGAGCCTTATGCGTGAATATAATCACAAAGATGTCCTAATGAGAGAAGAAGAAAAGCCACCTTATAGCTGCACTGTCCTGAGCTTTTCTGAGTCAGCACTGCTGATGTTCTTCTGCATTGCAGAAGTGCCCTGCTGATTAATTAATATTAACTTCTGACAGCACCTTACTGGGTCCATCTGGACGCTTACGTTGCACCAAAAGTAACTCCATGTACAGTCAGATGTGATGCAAAGCATCAGTCAAGTATATATAGTGTCAGAAATGATGCAACAAAATACAAAGCATTATTAGTGGCACCCCTGGAAAACATGTTTGTTTTGTAAATATATCAGATTATGTTATTGCAGCATAATAGCTCTGATTAACTTGCTGATACTCTTTATATTTAGTGTTTAATATATTTATTAGGTGTTTCATGTTTAAAAAAATCACAAATATATAAATAATAAAAACAAATTTTTTATTTGTAAGATTATTTTGCTTCAAGGCTGTTCCCACATTGTCACCAGAGGTTACAAAAAGTAAACAAAATCCCAATTGGTTTTATATCATAGTATACACTTGTAAAGACAGAATTTCATGGCCGTCGAATAATATTTACTCTTAATCCTGTTTTAAGTTAATTTACCTTAAGATTTAGCTGAATTATGCTCTCCTTCACCTCCTCCGTCTCCTGCAGCAGTGTGGCATTTGTTTGTGTGGTTTCTGGAGAATTACGAGAAAAAGACAAAACACATAATAGAAAGCAAAAAAAATCAATCACATCACAGAAATCTTGACTTTATATGAGTTTTAATGAAACATTATGGATCTATAGATTCAGAAAATAGAACATTATTCCTCACTTATAATCTGTTCTGGTTATTAAGAATGTGCATACTTTGATTTTTTTATTAACTTTTTCCATTTGTGAAAAACATTTGAGGTTCAAGGCCTCTGTTTTATGAGTTGTGTGACATAATAACACAATTTGTTAACACAGAAAAGCAAAAAAACCCGAGAATAAATAGTTTAGAAACTGCACGAATTGTTTTGCAGGAACAAACTAGATGAGCAAATTTGCAAAAAATATGCATCTTGCTCCATTTTTATTCAAATTTTTTATGCACACTGTCATGAAATGAGGGAAGACGAGAGTAGCCATCAACAGCTGAAAAGCAGGGCTTGCTTTATTAGCACGAGCATTCCGCTAAAAACATGAACATACTCTTATTCGAATTCGTTTATCTCTGTATGGTTCCTTAGTGCGCCCCCAGTGGGCAGGAACCCAAACTACTGTTACTATAGATAAAAAATAGTATCTCACAACACACACCATCTGCTTTTTCCCCCTGGATCAATGAAACAAACAACACTCATGATACTGAGAGGTAAACACACCAGAGTTACAAGCAATACGCAGCTATTTTTGCCTCAAGTTGCAGTTTTTTCTCAAATAAGTGGCTGTAGAAGTTGGAGAATGTTTCTTCACTGCAAACTCCAGATGCAGAAAGATTGAGACACCTCATATTTACACGAATATAAATTAATAAGTGAAGATTTTTAACTAAACCAAATTAAATGTGGCTAAATGGCATCAGAGCAGCTCTTTGCTCAAATGCAGATCTTGTGTGAATAGTATGTGAAACACAAATGACTCTTTGGACATATTTAGCGGATACAAAAGGCTTTGTGACATTATATCCCAGAGAGAGTAATTAGGAAGCACAGTGCACCAGGTGAACCATAAAAACAGACAATAGTTTGTATTTATGCTTTTGCAGTAAGTACAGATTATTTTAAAAGGCTATATGGTCCACTTCCTGCTTTAAAAAACAATAATATAATAGAGGAATGGATGGCAGCCTTGTTGGTTTTGAACCTGTTTTAAAATAAGTGAGTTTTTGAAGTTTTTCAGAGAACCAGCACTTAGTAAAATAAAATATTCCTCCATATGTTAGCTCTGATCAAGGCTAAAGCATTAGTCACTGTGAACTTGCTCTTCCTTTTCTCGTTGCTATACATTACTAATGTTCCTCAGCAGCGATTATAGTTGACATCATTTACTTTCTGCTACAATCTGAACTGAAATGCATTCATTCACAAACTGACAGAGATTTGGAACTTTAAGAGGATCAAATCTCCACTCGCAAACTTCTCTGCTCGCTTGCGAATTCACTTCTGCTCAAAAGAACTGTCGCCTGGCAACCTCTCAGCCAATAGAATGAAAGTATTATACTGGGTGCATTTGTTTTCTTCTAGTGGATGTGCCTGTGTGGCTGCTATCGATTGTAGCACACGTATCGGCTGAGAGGTTGCCAGGCGACGGTACGTTTTTATTTCGGGCGCGAGCAGAGAGGTTTGCAAGCAGAGTTTTGATCCAAGCAGAGAAAGTTTTGAGCGTAAGGAGAAAGATTTGAGAACAGTGAATATTTGAGAGAGAGGAGAAATTTTGAGTACAAGGAGTCAATTTCAAGAATGAAGACATTGAGTCCTGCTTTCAGACTGAAAATGTGTGTCTTCAAATTAGGGCAGAAAAATTTCCCCCATATGTTTTGTGCTACAAATGCACTGCAAAAACTCCATATTGACTCCAGTAAAGTAAATCAACCGGTCCTGAAGCCTACAGACCGCCAGTGGATATGGGACAGAACATTTTGTTATGATTACTGATTATTTGCTTATGATGTTGAGTTTGGATGATATTTAATAAGTTATAGCATTAGCCAAAATAAGTGGCCATTTAAAGAACAAGTCATACTCATAGATTAACAGTAAATAAATATTTCCCACATTACATTACGTTTGGTGTGTTCTATTCAGAAATTTTAATATATTTAATGAATAATTGTTCAATGGTCATTTAATGTATTATTTCACTAATATTTAACTGATAAACCACATTTATTAAAGACAAAAGGCCAAAAATAATGTTCGGATAAAAATAATGGTAATGCAATTTTTAGGTATGATTTTCAAATAAAGTTCAGGTTGATGACTCATTTTCACTCATCATTAACCTGAACTTCTACCTGGATAATAAACTGCTTTTAGGTTTATTAATCCTATTTTAATAAAATGAAATGCATAGTTTTGAGTAGATTTTATTTTAATTTCCAGGGCAGCAGACCCCATTAGGACTGTCACTCCTCTTGTGTCTCATTAATGTTAGCAGATGCTGGCAGGTATGATGTCATCTTCAGATTCTGATTCAAACTGAGTTTATACAGCTCTGGAAAAAATTTAAAGTCTCTCTGATTTTACTCTTTGTAAGTTTGAGTAAAATGAACATTGTTCTTTTATTCTATGAATTACTGACAAAGTGTCTCTTAATTTTGTTTGTGAATGTATGTAAATAAGCAGGTAGATTTAGAAAACTGCACCAACGAATATCTTCTCACCCGTAAAGGTCAGATCCTGGGATCGCCCCTGCATCGCCATCATGAGGAGAAACTCAGACAGTGAGAACCCCGTTCTGACCTCACTTGTCCTTTCACATGTTCTCTGACTCTGTGGACACCTGGCTGTCTTTCCTTTCTGCTTCGCTCTCAGATTTCCCCAGAAGGAGGCAGGCCTGTTTGAACTCTCCGGTTTACCTCCACGCCATCTGGCCTCCAGCTTACCGCCGCGGCTGGGGGGGGCGGTGTGTCTTACCTGGGGTGATGCCACCTGTTCTGGAGCTGGGCTTGCTGTGCTCCACGGTGAAATGGAACGTGTGGCCGTTGTCTTCGATGCCATCTACAACCCTGATAGGAGGGATGAGGAGATGGAGAATGTGGGTTAATGTTACAGTAGAGCTTTTTCAATTATCATCAGAGACACAAGATGATCCAAGAATGTGCCATGAGAGCTGCAGCTGGCAGACGCCCAGGTGGGTTTCGATGTGATGGGATGAGATATTTGAGCTGTATGAACCAGCCCTTACCCACATGTGCAGCTTACTGGGTGATACATTATAGATACAGACGGTAGGGCAGCAAGATAAGGTCCTCTAGTAATGAAATACAGTGACATCTGCTGTAATATGCATTTACAGGAGTTGTTGGATGCCATCAGACTGAGCATCGTTCTTCTTCTGTGTTTCTGTATTGGAGTGAACTCCGGCGCTTCTTTAAAGTTATACCTGTGTGCACAATTTGAATTTATTTGGGATTTTCTCTAATCCACACTGTTATTTATGCAGACAGTAAAATATTCTTTAGCACTTTGCAGAGAATTCAAACTGACTGGATATGTGACCACTCGTATTATAAGAAGAGATGTAATTAATTTGGATTGGTTAGTTTTTGAACAGGGAGCTAAATGTTTGTCTATATTGTGTCCAAATTTGAAATGTTTTGCTGTTGCATACCTCACTTTGACACCTTATACCAATATATGTCTAATAAGTTATTAAAACATCATCCTTTTTTATATTTCTTGTCTCCTGTCTTCTTTTCCACAGTGGGTAATTTGTTGAAGAGATAAAAAAACACAAACACATCAAGGCTGCAACTCAGAATTTTAGTAATTGATTATTTTGTCAATCATTCGGACGATTAAGTGATTTAAAAAATGGTTTGAATTTTCATTTAACCATTTAAGCCTTTTTTATGCAATATCAGAAATACAATAAGATGCAAAAGTAATTTAATTGTTTTTTTTTAAAAATAAGAAAACAAACATTTTAATGCCTAAAATGCAGCAATGTAGCATTTCTATAGTGAAAATATAAATTTATAAATTATTAAATTTAAGGACAAAGGTGTTTTTTATCTTAAATGTGAAATGTATATTTATTTTTGAACAGGATAAAGCATTTTGCTGAATATGTTTTTAGGGTTAGGGTTTTTTTTAAGCAAATGGTTTTTTTGAGTCTGTATTCTCCATTTAGTGAGTCATCAATTACTAAATTAGTTGACGATTATTTTAATAATTGATATATCACCATTAATTGTTTAAGATACCAAAAGATCCATATCAGTTCTAACGACGTGGACTTCATTAGTTTCAATAAACTGCATTATTCAAGTCATCCAGCTTCATCTTGCCATTTGTACCGAAGTAGAAAAGCTCAGTAAATATGCCCTGGTACCTGGGACTGAGGTCCGGCGGTGGAAAACACATCACCGTCGGGATGAGCAACTTTGCAGGTTTTTGCTCGTCTCCCAGCTCATCCTTGGCTGAAGCTGAAGCCTGAGTCGGAGTGGATAAGGAAGTGCCGTGCTCTTTCTTTGAAGGTGGCTGAGGGGATGAGCTTTGTCCAGGGAATCCTCGGCTGAGGTTTGGTGAACGGCAATGTCGCAGGGCGTTGAACTGACGCAGCTCGTCTCCTAGCAGGTTACCCAGGGAGGTGCGGCGAACCGGGCTGGTGAAATTGGGCAGCAGGAGGTTGCGGCGAGAGCGCGTGGCTGGAGAGAGGTGGAAGGCGTCATCGGGGTCGTCCGACTTCGTCTCAACGATAGGAGGGAGCTTTGGTGACTGCTGGAAAGGAACACAATAAATTGACACAGTAGTCTTAAAAACATTACATTTTGTCACATATCATCAAAAAAAAAGACGTCAAATGTGTTGATTGATGTTTCATTTACTGCTAATCAGAGGCAACTCTACACAGCTTTGATTTTACGTTTACTGTGGGACCCAGTTTTCTTTGCAGTTCTGTCTTAATTCAGCCTCGTTTGATAGTTTTGGGCTTGGAGGACCTGTTTAAGTTTGAGTCCAAACTTTGACTAGGCCACTCCTAAATGTTTATTTTATTAAATTTCCACTGTAAACCAAGAGTCCTTTATTACAAATATAAGGAAGTTTTGTAAATGATGTTAGTACCACTTAGCAATTAAATTATATTAAACAGATTTTATTTTATTTTTTTATCTTGTTGTTTTTAAAAAGATTTTTGAGACAGTATGCACTAAAACAATCCTGGTTCGCACTTTAAAATATGAAAACAGGAAATGCAATACATGTTGCAAAAACAGACCCTATCACCCCAGCAGATCAATACAATGCTCAGCAACTATTGATTTTTTAAAATACATATTATTGATTTATAAAGGCCCTGTGTCGATTCCAGCTAAAGATTAATCACCCCAATCACTCCAGAAGGTGCTAGAACATTTCAAGAACCGATAAAGTGAGCAACGTGACCTCAGCTCTAAAAATAGCAGGAAGAGATGGATGATCGTACGGTACAAGATAAGAAAAGTAGCTCAGAAGATTTCAGAGAGTTATTGACCCAGTTAGTGAGCTAAGCCCCGGGTCTGGACTGCCCTGTCTCTTCTAAACCAGTTTCAACCTGGAGAGGAAAACCTCGCCCAGACCGTCCCACAGAACCAGCAGCAGCACCGGATGTCCCAGAAAAACAGGAGGGATTGCTTCAAAAATTCACAGGCTGCTGGAAACCAGGGAAAATATTTCCTAATATAATCTCATCATTTAATGCAAACTTTCCAACTCCCAGCTGCATAAGCTTAGTGGATCTAACTTTATCATCTGATGTGTATTTGTATTTTTGTAGTTTTAGGAAATTGACACTCTTTTCCAAGGTGTGAATAATTGTCTCTGGGTAAAACATAACAAAACAAATAAAGATTTAATTTGCTCACTTTGCATGTGTAGGTTTGGATTTCATACACCTGAGATAAATTATTTAAAAAAATCAAAAGTGAGCCAAGAAATACCTGAAGGTAGTTTTTGAAATAATTTCTATTCTTCAAAAACACAAAATCTTACAAAGTAATTTTGGACTAATTTCTTATTCCACTTAAAATAACACAAACTAACTTAAAAGTAACTTTTCAGCTACATATAGAGGCTACTTTTAAGTAAATAATTCCTCAATACTGATTTAATACTAGAATTATTTACTTAAAACAAGTCCCTACATGAAGCTGAAAAGTTATGTGTTAGTTAGTTTTGGCTATGATATTTTCACTAGAAACTAGACCAAATGGATGAGTCCGGATTGAAAGAGAAAACCTCATCTTTACTTTCTTAGATATTCAAGTTTAAAGCTTATTAAAATGTTGGGATTCACTGAGAGCGCTGTCGCCATTTCGTATGAAAATGAATCCTCAATAATAGGCCCTTTCTATGACCGTGCATACAGTGCAGTGCTCCTGTTTCTGTAACAACGTACTAACAAGTTCAGAAAGCACATCATGAAAGGGAATAAAATCCCTTTGAAAAAACTGGACGGATATTAAATGAACGCAGAACTCACATGGGGAAGTCTGGGCGACTTGCAGAATCTGCTGAAGCCCTGCAGGGACAGAAAGGAAGGAGACAAAAGACGACAAGTTGGGAAAAACGGCACTTTCAGAGCGTTTGAAGACTTTTTTTTGAAAATATGGTAAGCTTCTTAAAAGCACAACCAAGACTAAATATTAAAAATAAGCAGTTTTGAAGGATCAGTGGAAACAAAATGAACTTAGCATGTAAGCCTCAACCAAGAGGTTAAAAGGACAAAGTGATGCATGTTAAACTTGGCAGGAAGAGAGCGGATTGTCACCAGAACGAAACGTTTAGCAAGACTTTCAGATTTGCACAAGTAAATGTGTAAATAATTAACTTTTTCAAATGTATTTTCCAACCTCATCAATTTTCCCTTAAAATCATGCTGCTTAAATATTAAATTAGAAATCCTTAACATCACATGTGTCAAACTGAAGGTCCGTGGGCCAAATGTGGCCCGCCGAAGATTTTTATATGGCCTTCTAGACTACAAATTACATTTTAAACGTTAAAAACTCACACAAAATTCCCAAATTTCTTTTAGATTTTTACTGTAAATTTTTCTCCAAATTGTCAAGAAACATTGAGTTTAACAACAACTTGATGTCAAGTTATAAAGCAATTAATAAACAGCCACATTTAACATCATACATTAGTGCAAACATCATAAAAACTCTAATATTTTTAAAATCTGTGATTTTGGTTGTTAAAAAACTCACAAAAAAACAAAACAAAAAGAAATCTAAATCTTGGATGGACTGATCAGTGTGAAAAGAGTATTTTAATTAACACGAATTAAATGCTGAAACAAACATCTATTTATTAATATTTAACAGTTAAAAGAGTTTTATCAATACATTCTGGCACAACCGGCCCTTTAAGAACATTCAGATTTTTGATTCTTGAAAATTATCTGCTACTTACAGAAAATATTTGTTCATTTCAATCAAAAAGTTAAAAATGCCAATAATTATCTCCCTTTGCTTGATTTATTTGTTTACTCCCTTCTTGGGAATTTGACTTATTACTATTATCTGTTATATTTTTTCTTGTGAGATGCTAAAATGTCCTATTTGTCATTTACTGCCACTTCAGCTTAATAACGGAAACTCAAATAAGCAAGAGTTTTCAAGATTATCCTCAAAAATAATAACGCCTGGAGTTTTACAGGCAATGAGTCGCAGCTGCAATTATGAACTGATTGCAGTCGGTGTATTCACCGCCCCAGATGGGTGTTTTTATAACATTGGTAATCACATTTTTTAATAATCTCAACTAATTTAATGCACAACTCATAAAACGAATGAAACTGGTGGAGGAAAATTGCCAACTATCTTCATCGCAGCACTTTGAAAATGGTAAATGAACATAACATGAGCTGTTAAAGTTTAAGGTCAGCTTGTGTAATGTCTCAGGTTGGGTCATTGGTCCATTTTTTTTTGTTTCTGCACATATTTGATTAAATCACCAGACATTTTTCCTCCAAAGCTAATTGCTTGTAAGTTTGTTTTTCTCCTGGCGCGTGGCAAGATTAGCTTTGGCTATTAAGCAATGGGGAGGATAATTATTTAGCAATGGTGAATCCTTTTCTAATCGATGAAAAATGTTACACAGACACACAGTTAGTGCCCGACAAGCTCTTTGATGCAAGAAGGCATTAAATTTAATCCTCAAAGCAAATGGCTAAGTTTAAAAATAACTGATGAAAAGGAAATTAACGTTTGAATCAGTTTAGATTGTTGTAGGCCACATAAAGGATCTCTCATCCTCAGAAGATGAGGATAAATAAGGTTATAATGGAATCAAGCTAATGGAAATTTGCGCCAAATGACCTGAGATGAGAGGAATTAACGATAAATAAGTCCCCTATAACAAGGTTTGTGTCGTTATATTGTTGAAGTGTTTCTACCTATATTATGGGCAAACAATCAGTATTTTAGACGTGCTAACTGTCATATATGAGAATATTACTTTACAAAGCAGCTCCTGGTTTATTGTTAAATAGTAAAAATAAATCACAGTATCCTATCTAGGAAGCAGAAGCAAGAACCACATCCAAATTTATATCTAGATTTAAAATCTGCGTTCATATATGCTCTCCTAATCAATCTATTTAATACTGAGCGTTTTTTTAAAAGAACAACGAATAACGATTTCAGAGCATAAATGTGCAAAAGCTGGTAGAAACAAACTCTTAAACCAAATAACAGTTTGGTTTAAACTGCAGCATTAAGTGAAAACTCAATTCAACATTAATTAGCTATCAGAACTTTTATATATTTGTTTCTTGTTGTTAAATCAATTTCCTAAACTTTAATTTCGGAGTAAAAACCAAAACAACTTTCTTGTCGACTTAAATTGCGTTTTTAAGGCAGCAGATGGGCTTTCATTTTCAAGTTAAGCCATCTTTAAATGTTTTACAGTGTGTTGTTACACTTGACAAAATTCCAAACAGTAGATTTAAATTAGCAGTGTCATTTGAAAGCACCAGTTAATCGATTCTACTTGCATTTTAAGACATGACAAAAAGCCAATATGGCAAAAAGCTTTTTGTTTTATATACATTTTCACTGCGAGTTTCTAAATAACAATGTGTGTCATCTGTTTTTGATGCTTTGACCATTCTTTGTTCTTCAGCCAGGGAAACGTTGCTAAATCAAATACAACAGCGGCAAAACACTGAAATAAAGAAAATTAACCTTTTTATTAAGTTTACATGCAGATAATTGGTAATTTGCCAGTTTAACTTTGCGTTGGGGTATCAAAATGTTAAGCATCATTCAGCTTTTGAAGCCCTAATTAATACAGTGAAAGCTGCGTCCTTCAGCCCGACTGACAAAAAGACGTCCTCTAATTAGCAAACCCATCACACATGTCTCGTCCTTCCTGTTCCGAACTATAAAAATCAAAACAAGGCGAGGATAAAAAAAAGAGAAAACAAAGATTAAACTAATGAGCAACAAAACTTTGAAACAATGGAGACAACTAGAGGAGCTAACAGACTGCTAACAAGAATCAGTTTTTAGGAAGCGTAGAGGGAGAGTTTTGTCACTTTTGTCAGCCATACATCACAGACATCCCACCGTTAATTTCAGAAAATGCCATGCAAAATAGCTACCCAACATTTTGTTTTGTTGTCTTGTTCTCCATTTCAGTATTGCTCAGCATTGCTTATTTATTTAAGTCTTTTTAAAATGTTTGCATTTTTTAAGACTTTATGGTTGGTGTTCAGGTGTTAATCTTCCAATCATACAGTAACATAATTATCAAGTGACATAATAACATTTCCTGTCAACTTTAAACATTTTTAACTCAAAAACACGACGGGCTGCTGGATGAATGGCTGCTCTGGCGCTCAACCTCCGGGCTTAGCAAGTTTTCTGGAGGAAGCCCTGCTAAACATATTAAAAGAAAAACATAGTCATCCAAAAATTACTCAAATAAGAGTAAAAAAAGTATTTGGTAAAAAGTCTGTTCAAGTACTCAAAAAATGGCATCATCAGACAGACCAAAATATAAAGTCAAGTGGAAATTTTGGTATTTTAAGGACAGAAATGACAGTAATTCAAAAATTAACAAAATAAACTGTTCCCAATCAGTTTCTTTTCATAAAAAACTACAACCTTAGCAGAAACTTCAGGTGTGTGTCTGTGTCTGGTGAATCTTTGGTTAAAACATGATTGAAGTTAAAGAGTCCAGAATTTTTACTCAAGTAAGAGTAAAAAGTACATGTTTCAAGTAAATGCAACTTCATAAAAGTAACTAGTTACTATCCAACTCTGCTAAAACGCAATGGCTTAATGCACGCTTACATTTTTATTTTGCTAACAACAAAACCTTTTTTTCTGTTATTTAATCTCATGCTATAATAATAACACTTATGGTTTTCTTTAACATTCATTTAGCAAACCTACGTAAGCACAGGAGCACATACTGTGATGGTTGTGGGTTCGCTATGTTGATTAGACTTAAAAAAAACCTTCAACAAGAAGTAAGGTACTTCAACTAATGTATTCTTATTACACAGTTCATTAGCTGTGTTTGTCATATTAGCAAAACATTTAATTTACCTCATTACAGTGATTGGAAAAGCAGAAAAGTGGAGAAAAAAACCAAAAGGCAGAATACATGTTCACATCTATTTACACTCTGTGTTGTGAATTTGTGAAGTAAAAGTAAACTAAATTGAATTTATAGTAGGATACATTAATCATATTTTAATTCATAATTGCATTGTCTAAGCTAAATGAACATATTAATGAGAGCTTCTTCACGCAGTTTGCACTGTGGCTTAAAAATACAGATATTATAAAGTGCAAATTGCTGAGTGGTGTTGGCTCAGAGTTTATGGTCTTCAAAACACCAGTTGTGGCAGAATGTATTGATAAAACTCATTTAGATGTTAAAATATTAATAAATATCAGTCCCACTAGGAGTTTGTGATTATTTTTTGTAGATTTTTGAAATTAAAATCACATATTTTGAAGTTAGAAATATTTGTAAGGAATTTTTATATTTGTGCTAATACGTGATGTTAAATGTGACTTTTTATTAATCGCTGTATCGGTCAACCGGACATCAAGTCTGAGGCAGCAGTCAGTTAAACTCAATGTTTTTGACCAAGTTTGAGAAAAAAATTGCAATACAAATGTGCAGATCTGTTGATTTTGTGTGAATATGGAGGATTTGTGAAAAACTGGAGGTACTTATTGTTGTAATTTGGAGTCTAGAGGGCCACATAAAAAGCTGCAGCGGGCCAGATTTGGTCCCCGGACCTTGAGTTTGACACAAGTGGTTTAGGATGACATAATTTATTTTTTTTGCCAAAAGACTGTGGTTTAACACGTCCGGATTTCTAATGTAATTGGATGCAGGTTCCCATTTTGTCTCTATATTACAGTAGTTCTGTAAGGTTTTCTGAAATTACTGCTAACCAGCAGTAATCAGACAGCACTGAGAGCAGCGTCCTGCTGGGCTTTGGGGAAATGAAATGATATGCCTGCCTGACATTGGCACCCACTCATCGTAATTGGCCTTTGGTTGCTGTGGCAGAACAAGACTCGTGTAGAGTGACAAAAGCACTGTAGGGGGCAAAATTATATTGCCTAGTACGTCCTGTTCCACACTGTTTGGCCACATTTGTGTGCTAATGGTAAAGGTTTTTGTGATTTTAATCTATGGGTTTATTTGCAATGTTTGTTTAATTTTACAAACAATAGCAGGGTTCCAGTTCTTTGCCAGTTTTTATGTCAAGTTTTCCATGTACACACATTGCAGAACTGCAACATGGATTTTGGTTAATTTTTGGGTGATGTTTTTCATTCATTAGCATAAAAAGAAGACTGTACTGGCTGCAGAAAGTCAAGAGAGCTTCTCTTCAAAAACCTCCCGATTGTTAAGTCACATGCAACCCAAGCGGAGCTCCAGCACTTTTATTCAACTAGTTTTACTGTGGTATGTGCCGTACAATGGCTGCTGGAAAAGACAAGTGTTTTGATGTTGACTTGCCATCCAGAAACTACTTGCGGCATTCTTGTTGGTTGTGCAGGAGGCTCTACTTCTGCTTTTCAAAGGTGCATGGTTGTAAAATTGCGCATCTGTTTGTAGACATTTTCATAAATGTAAACGCTCAGTTGGGCGGCGTGACCAGCAGCAGCTTGTTTGGATTTAAAGTGGCCTTTAAAACTTTTAACCCTTCCAGACTGAATGTAGCAGCTGCGATGCAGCCGAATTTGCAGCACTGTAATCCCGCCACACTTCCAACAATTTCTGAAAGGGGAGATGTTGCACTTTCCAGCCAATATGAGGTTATTACGGTAATTTCACTCCCACCGAAGCAAAGAGGGAAATTAAACTGGTGAAACACTCTTCTAATAGACGGTATATTGTGAAAATAACTGATATATATTGAAAGTTATATATATCTTCACTCACAAGACATTTAAAAAAGTGCGTACAATTAAAGTACGCAAAAATATCCAGGGAGAGATTTGAAACTTAGGTCTAAAAGGGTTAAGAAATGCCCTGTTCTCAAACAACTGAATTTCCTGTTGTCCAACAAATAGAACACAAAGAAAAGTTGCAATTTTGATTAAATAGAAAACAATCTTCTGTAGGAGTTTGATGCGTGTGTTTCGGTACCTCGTCTTGGCTGCCTTCTCGCAGGTTGTAGGTGATGTTGTTGTGGATGTCGGTGGTGAACACGCTGGCATACTCTGGGTACAGCTCCAGCACCTCTCTCAGGCCGCGCACACTGATATACTGAAGGTCGCAGTAGGTGAGCGCCTTCACATCTGCATTTGTCTTTATCACCTGATCAGTTCCAGGCAAGTCAGACCCGATCAGATCCCCTTTTCCTAAAATCCCAAACACCAACAATCACTTTCCTGCTCTCGTTTAACACTTATGAACATGTTTCTGTGCAGGTTTGCCATAAAACAGACCTAATATCGCCAACACCATGCTGTCCTTCAGCACCTCCAGGGAACCGGAGCAGACAAAGTAGTTGGCATGCAGAGCGTCGCCCTGACGGATCAGGTACTCCCCAGGTACACAGAAAGAGGTCTTAATATGAAGCGAGAGTGAGCGCAGGCAGCCTCGGCTGGCCCCTTTAAAAACCGGCAGCTGAAGGATGTCCTTATTCAAATGCATGGCGATGTCGGCTCGCAGCTCATCTGGGAAGTCGTGCAGGAGCTGATTTGATGTAATAAGGCGCAGAGTTGTTGGAATATTTTAGATCAGTTGATGGTGTGAAAGGATTGGGAGGGGATTTCACACTCACACACACACACAAACAAAATCATAATTTCTTAATCTTTAAGTCATTGAGGGACAGCATCTTGTGATAACAAAGGAGACTCCCACCTCGTTGGCATCGATGCCGTTGTTGACAGACCATGTGGTCTGGAAGTACTCCAGCATCCGCTGCTTAAGCTGCTGGGGCAGGCGGTGAACACGGATGAAGTCCTTCAGGTCGTTCATACGCGTGTGGTAGAGGGAGCGGCGTGAGTACATGCGCTGGATGATGGCCGTCACATTACCGAAGACGACGGCGTGCATCAGAGCTGGGGCAGATGGAGGCAGTAATGAAGGCGGTTCGACTGAGATACATGAACAAGGTGAGCTAACTCAAAAGAAAGCGGGAAAACAGAAGGCCAAACACAAAATCCTTACAGAATCCCCCTTTTTTTGGTGTTATCTTTAGCTTATTTTTTATTTAAAACACAGACTCTTGCTGTGGCTGCTTGAACATTCAGACAAAAACCGCAAATACAATAGTGGCAGAAAAAAAAGTTTCTATGCATAACACTGCAAAAATTACACACGCTCTCATTAAAATAAAAGAATTAAATCTGAATCTATTATTTAATATGTACAAAAGAAGATTAAATGCTGAGTCAAATGTAATTAATAAGAAAAATGTCTTGGTTTTAACTCAGAAGTTGTCTAAACATTAAGTTCATTAATCTCTAATTGTGAGTTTTAACTTTGTGCTGCAATTCAAACCGAATACTTATTTCACAATATGCAACAAAAAACTGTCCTAATCTCGTTATAGAGCCAAATTTCTCTATTATTTTCACTCACATTATCAAGTTAAAATAACTACTTATTTTACTTGATTCTTGTTTCAAGTTGCATGAACAAAATTTCTGATCTGAATTAATTTTATTAAACATCACAATAAATTCTGCAAAAAATATTTAGTGTGAAAAGCCCATAAAAATAAACATTTTCATAAGTAACACGAGAGTCAGATCATTGTAACGCACTTCCATCTCGGGATACAAGCCGCTAAGCATTCTGGGAAATAATTCCCACTGCTGTGTTTTGCTTCTTTCAGTTTTTTTACACTGTAGTTTATTAAACTCTTGGAGGTTTGACAAAATTAATAAAAAGTTAACACAACTTACAACTTTCACAAACTCACATTTAGGCTAAAAACCTAAAACTTTAAATTTATTCGACTTAAAGAGAAGAAGATAGTAAACACTACTAAATGCAGCTCCAATGTTTTAAGGTGTAATTCAAGGACGTTGCAGCATTTTTTAACGTTCTCCTCTCAAATTGATTTTCAGCTGAATTTTACTGGATGATTGAAAGTTTGCAAAAACAATTTTTGCATCACAAAAATGTAGCATTCAGGAAACATTTTCTATTGATTCATGGAGAATATAAAGCAATATCCTCCACTGGAACTAACTGTAAACTACTAATATTCATAAACAGTATTTACTACATGTTTGAGATTGAGAAGCCAATTCTAGACAATTTCCTCAGTCTTTTTCTTTATTCCAAATGGTAATTTTTAAACTTCCTGTAGTGTTTAGCTGTGCTAGATTCTATAATTTGCAAATATTAATAAACAGGAAAAAGTGGAAATTCAAAAACATCGACATATTTTCAGCTTAAGTCACAGCAGAACAGTGGATAAACGGAGAACCCAGCAGCTTCACCAGCTCTTTACAGATCAAACTAAAGATAAATATAAAACTTTGATCCCTAAACTCTCTTTTGGAGCTCAAATAAGTTTAAACTTTTAAAGCTTTATTTGCTCTTTCATCTATAGGGATTTGACACCAAGTCAGAGCTGTGTTTACATCATCACCATCATTCTTACAGGCAGTAAAATAAACCCATGATAATCTGCTGGGCTGTTGCACTTATTATTGCCACCTCAGCAGAAATAATCTGTTTCTGAAAGATGATGATTGCATCAAGCTGCGTCTCCAAGCCCAGCCAAGCAGTTCTACCCGACAAATTCTGGATTTCGTGGACTGCCGTCCAAACAGAGACACAGGGAGCGAGACGACCTGGTGTCAAACGTACCACCGATGAGCATGGTGCAGATGGAGAAGATCTTCTCGGCGTCGGTGTTGGCGCAGACGTTCCCGAAGCCCACACTGGTCAGGCTGCTGAGGGTGAAGTAGAGAGCAGCGATGTAGGAGCTGCGGACCGTCGGGCCGCCCACGGTGCTGTTGACGTACGGAGTCTCTAGACGTTTGCCCAGCTCATGGAGCCATCCTGGGGAGCAAAGCTAAACCGTTTCAGAAAACTCTCTGCCTCTTTGTGTCGGTCAGTAAAACGTCGGATGTCAGTGAAAGGATGGAGAGAAAAGCTAAAATCATTGGCAGCTTCTGTTATATGTGGGTATTTGCCAAAATGAGGATATGGACAGCTGGCATTTTAAAATTGGCTACTATAAACCAGTTTTGGGATAAATACAGACATTAGATTTTATATAAATTCGAACAGAACAAAAAAAAATGGCATTAATCAAATCTAATCAAAAACACAAAAGATTCCACATTTATTGAAGAAATACAAAAGCAGATGAAGCCCATAACTGAACTTTATAAAACCACCTACATGAACTATAAATCATTCTTGTTTTGAGTTTATTATTTTCTCACATTACTGCAGAGGAACTCCCCCCCAGTCTCTGCCTCCAGTTTCATTGCTTGCATGGCCTACTTTGTTCCTGGGTTTAAGGGTAAGATTGATATCTTCCCATTTGGCTCCAGAAAAACTTTGGTGTGCAGAAAATATTACGCTGAGCCCCAAACATCTTCCATCTGTGTACCGTACTGCGGTTAAACTGTGTTTGGTTAAATTCAGACCTAACTTCTGTCAAATTTGCAAACCTTTCCCAGATTTTACTATCATTAATTAACAAGTTAATTATTTAATAACCTGGTAAAAAAAAAAAAAAAAAACATGCACCACCTTCTTCAACTCAGACAAAAATGGTGTCAAACTTTTGTGCAGCAAACATTTTCGTTTGTGCTTGTGCAGCCCCCTCACTTTTACAAAATCAAAATTACCTTTAAACTTTCATCAGTATCTTCAAAACCAAAGCAGCACAAACAAAAAATGTTGCTGCACAAACATAGTTGAGTTGATTGGCACCAATTCTGTCTGGTTTTGAGAAGGTGTTGACCTTTCATAACCTCTGGAAACATTTCTTTATCATTTTTGCTGCACAAACGTTTGACACCAATGTTGTCTGGCTTGAAGAAGGTGACGGGTCCAACTTCACTCAGGAGCCTGACAAACATTATATGGACGTCTATTTACTGTAGGTAGTAAAGCAAATGAGCTGTTGCAGTAATCAATGTGACTAAAGATGAACGCATGGATGAGTTTCTCTTGCATTAGTCCTCAAATTCTGGAAATGTTTCTCAGGGATAGAAAAAATAGTTAAGACTCACCTATATCCCAGGTTTGATTGGTTTCTATTTCCTTGCGGCCGATCATGTACCAGATGCAGGCCATCCAGTGCGCCAGCAGGGCAAAAACAGACATCAGTAAGGTCAGCACCATGGCGCTGTACTGAGAGTAACGGTCGAGCTTCTGAAGAAGCCGAAGGAGACGCAGAAGACGGACCGTCTTCAGGAGGTGGACTAAAGAGGTCTACACAGAGAACGGGAATTTGAAAATGTTAGCTCCTCTTGATTATACCACTTGATGAAGCAGAATTGGCAAGGATCAAGTATAGGAGTGCAGAACTGGAAATGTGGTTGTACTCACCACTGTGATGTTGAAGGCATAGAGTAGGTCAAAGGGCAAGGCGGCCACCAGGTCCACAAAGAACCACGTGGTGGCATAGTGAATGCAAATGCAGCGAGACTCGTACACCACCTGACCCGACTGGCTCACATAGGTGGTACGAAAGTTCAGGATAATGTCTGAAATTATAAAATCAACCCAGTAACTGACAGCCATGTCATGGTGATTCTTCAAACATTAATAGAAAATTAAACCGGAGCTCATCACTGCAAACACTAAAGAATAACCAGAAAAAGATGCAGCTGTGGACGAGGTTTGGTCCATTCAAAGGAAGAGCAACAGCTGGGATATCATATGAATCAGGACAAATTTGTCCATTTCTGACACAAGGGATCCAAATCTAACCTAAATTCATTGTTACAAATCTTGAAATTCAGGGATACCTTTGTTAAAGTTATTAGTATTTTAATCTACAAATGTGATATGATAAACAATTTACAAACATTTCCCCCCTTTTATATGCCATGTAATACCCTGTGTGAAACACACTGGTGGCCCGCCAGGCTTATATGGAGGGAAACCCTGAAATTATACAACAAAATTATGAATTTAGAAGCTCAAAACGAACCCCTAAATTCTCCAACTTTCTAATCATCGTACTCCAGCTCTCACCGATAATGAACAGCATTTCCACTAAGATGTCGCTGACGATGGTGGAGCGGGAGGCAGGGATGGAGTCGTCGTGTGGGGAGAAGCTAACGTTGTAGGGTACGGTGACGGCCACGTAGAAGGTCGCCAGCAGGATGAGCCAGTCCCACAGCGCCTTGGATACGCTGTAGTGCAGCAGGATGAAGCGCGACTTCTGCACCGCCGCCACCTTGTACTCTGGTACCGAAGGCTTGTCCACCATTGACTGAATGGCAGCAGAAGAGCAGCACTTTTAAACTGGTTGTATTGCAGCACGTAAAGGTAAGGGGTTGAAAAATTAAAAACTGGTTGACAGGAAAACAGTGTCTGCAAAACCAAAAGGTATTTCTCTGTCCAAACATTTTGCAAATTAGGCAATAAAAGTCAAGTTAAAACTACTCAAGGGGCCACACAATTTTAAATATTTTTCTTTGTTATTTTAACTTCACAAACTATTTTATTTTTCATTTTCACCTGCTAAATAAACGATTAAAACAATATTTCAAGCAACAAGAACAAGATTTAGACCATACCTGAATAATAATCAATTGTTTATTGTTCTTACTTTATTATGCTTAGTATATGTTTGCCATATACTAAGCAAAGCAGTTTAATTATGTTTAATTTTTTTGCTGGTGTTTACAATTTGTCATCTTGCATAAAGTTCTCATTAGGTATAAGGTCAATTCTCCCTCTGCTTTGCAGCGAAGCAGCGTTTAATAATCACCGCTGCTTCTTCCTTTATGAAGTGAACTGGATTTAAATTTCCTCTGGGACAAATAACCCCAAAGAATCCATCTAGTCTGGATAAAACCCATATTTTCCCTGTCAAGCCTTCCCATTTCAGTGTAAACACTGTTGATATTACTTGACTCATTTACAGTATTGCTTTCCCAGACTGGAGCGTGCCTCTCTCTCTGCCTGTCAGCCATGTGAAGAGCGAAGAGGCGGTAGATTGGTTACTGGGAACTCTGGCATTTAATGAAGATGTAGCTGCACTTATAGTATCTAGGAGAACAGGCTCAAGACATTTTGCAAGATTTCTAAAATAAATCAAGTTGCACTACACTTATATAGATTCACAGTAGCATTATTAGGCAACTGTGGCTTATTTTATCTTAGAAAATTAGACTTTCCACATATAAAAAGAGCAGTGCTGCTGCTAAATAACCTGGCAAAAAAGGAGATGCTTCCACTAAACAACTTTCACAGCCGCTTTCTTCCTGACCAGAAATAAATAATCGTGCAAAAATTTGTTCAGCAACTATTTAAATATTGAAAATAATGTTATTTGCCATCTTATTTTTACTAAGAGAATGTCAATTAGATTATCGTAGTTTGTAAAATATTTTCAAGATAAGTGAGAAGATGAAAAAAATCTTCTTAAATATTATATTTTTCAGTTATTCAAAGCTGGGATTCAGTGCTTTTTATGGCTTATTCTTATACAACAGGGTTCAAACTTTAACAAGAGTTAAGAAATAAAAGTTTAAAAAACATTTTTGCACTTTGGGCCTGGAGCAGATAAACATTAAAGATGAGTCCAATATGGAGTAAACAGATATCAACTTTTTAATAAATTTTAGTGGTTGACCTGTGATGACCTCAAAAAACATTTCTTTATTTCTTTAAAATGATAGCAGCACAAACAAAAACTTTTGCTGCACAAATGCAGCACAAACGTTTGACACCAATTTTGTCTGATTTGAAGACAAATCAGAAAACTTTTTAACAGGTGAGAAAACTAACGTTCATCCGCGTCTGGCAGTCAGTAAACCGTGGAAACAATGCTGCGCCGTGACCTAGCCTAGCATGTATGGGAGAAACTGGCTAGCTTCTGGTCTTTCGATGTTTTCAATGCTGCTGCGGTTTAAGGGGAAACGTCGTTCATCACATAGCACATAAACCATGTGGCGATAATTTAAGCAACACGTCAGCTAGCTTAGAAATGGGTCGGTTTCTAAGCTAGCTACCTCTGTCAGGGCACCAACCAAGTTAGCGTGACTCGAACAAGTAGAAGCCATGAAGAAACTGCCAAAAACAACTTTGGAAAACAATTTCAACGTCCGTCATGGCGCCTCGAATGACTAAGTGACGTACCTGCAAAGAGTCAATGAACAAAATGCTAACTTCAGCTTAGAAAGAAAAACAGAACATGTTAGCTAACTGCAGTTTGTAAGTTCTTGTAGCAGTGCTTTCTCTGAATACTTCCTTCAGATTTAATATGGTTTAACTAAAGTAAAATCCTTTAAGTGAAGTGTATAACATCATGACTAAAGCTGTTTCTGCTGAAGTGGACAACAACAAGGTTTGTTTGGTGAAGGTAAATATCTAAAACTATTAGCCAATTTCAAGCTTAATTTGTTAATTATACAAAATGCGGACAGATCCCAAAGAAACCTGCATAAATGAATAACTTAACATCCAGATGGTCACAAGGGGAAGGGCTGCAACTATTAATGATAATCAGATGGACACTGCAGTGCCAACATTTTGCAGAAACCGTCAGTTTAAATGTCAACACGCTCTCCTGTGCGCTGACCGCCGATTGTTGAGTAAAGCAGCAACTGAAGTGAAAACGAACAGTGATGTCAGGAGTAATCTCTGAGAGACAGCCATCCATACAGATGGCGATAAGCCCCTCAAAAGTCTGCGCTGAAACGCTATAAAATGACAAGAAAAGAACTGTGGTCAGTCAAGAGGAAACTTATTACAATTAAAGGGCTTGATCATTTCATACACGGCTGAGCTTCATCCCGCCAAGTGTCAGATGGCAGAGTTTGGTTTGGAGGAAGGGAATCATTTTTGGAGAGAACAGTCTCGAATTTATCCATGTTAAAATGATGCAAAAAATGACATCAGAATAAATATTTTCAAAGTTTAAAATGACATATGTACAAATAAATATCTTGTGTAGAAAACAAAACCCACCCGCCATAAATTATAGTAAATTTCTTAAATCTGTGTTCTTCTCGGATCTTCTTGTTTACTTCCTTATTAAATCCAAAATTTGCAGAGAAGTTGCATTTTAACCAAAGTTTTATTTAACTTTATATTTTGGTCCATCTGATTATATTTTACATATAAAATCATTTATAATTTGATCAGTTGTTCAGTACTGTAGTAGACTTTTTACTAAATACATTTTTACTCCTACTTGAGTAATTTCTTAAACTGCTACTTTTACTTGAGTATACAGTTTTTGGATACTGTACCCAACTCTGCAATATTCACATGCAAAGGTCAGGAGAAAGTAACGAAAACAACTCAAGCATTTTAAACTTCTGCTGCAGGCCTGGGAAAAGAGAATAGAGCTGACCAAGAAGAAAAAGTGATAGCCTTGAAAGCGTGGGGAGAGACAAAAAAATAAAAAGCTATCTGGACAAGCAACGTTCAACGCGGCCACTTCTGGGAGATGAAATGTTAGCCTAGAAGCTGCTGAGGTGGTTTGGAGAAAATTGACTGATTCTATTTCAGTAAACCTCCACATCATTCTCCTTTTCTTCCAAAATAAGAAATGCAGTGAAGAGGAGAAACGCTACACTGTCTTTCACTGCAGGGACACGCGATAAACTGTGTCACAGTTATAAATCCGAGCCCTTTGCTTTGTGATTCAGCTCCATTTCATGCCTGCTAAGGTATTTACTGAGGACAAAAATGCAATCTTTGATGAGGACAACTCCAAGAGGAATGTTTCTACAAGTCAGTCCTTTTCTCCTGGTTAACAGAAAAAGCATGAAATCCCACAGAGTTTCTTGTCAGTGAGAAATGGCCTGGTTACAGCGGCTGATAACTCACAGCTGACAGCATTCAAACAGAAACCAAAAAAAGCACATGTCAGCACCTTGGTAAGCAGGTTTCATTAAAAAAAAGGGCGCTGAACATTTTTTTTTGTAAAGGTTATGTGACAGAGCAGGAGAGATTTCTATTTGTGAATTAGCTCTACACCTCTGCTTCTCTTTCTGTTGATCTGTTAGCAGCTTCAGCACCGTTTGAGGACGTGTGAGCGTGACTATGAGTATTCCTAAATGGCTTTTTCCCTCGCCTTTTGAGACTCAGGCAGCAAAAATATATATTATTTATAAGATAGTCTTGGAATGATTCAGCATTGCCAGGGTATAAAAATACTCTCTGGTCCAACACAGACCAGGGGTGTCAAACTCTCCATCTCTTAGATGAGTTCCCGGTCCAGCACACCTGAATCAAATTCACCGAATCACCTTCTCCGTGTGCAGTCAGGTGCAGCAAATTGATGCTAATGACCTAATTATGTGATTCAGGTGTGCTAAAGCAGAGATATATTTAAACAGTTGTAGAAGACTGGACTTCAACTGCGCTTCCATGACAAACTGTGTCAATATTGTGAAGAAGGAATTACAGTGTCTCCGTTAAATAAAAAACACAGTTAGAATCACCTGTGATTCTTCTTCGACTTTTCCTCCAGTTGTAACATCACGACTCGTGTGATGCAAAAAAAAAAAAAAGTTCCCATTGCAGTTATGCTGAAAACATTTTTCTTCAAGAAAACATGAGTTTTATCAAAATTGGCAAATTTATTTTGGTAATTAATTAGTTTGCGCAGCTTTATGGTAAAGGTCTGCTAACCAGGTGTCATTACAGGGTCAACTAATCACCCCAAGAAAAAAAATGCCTCATGAGTCAGTTTTGCTCTGATGAAGTTTTCAACTGGTTTTATAGATGTGCATTTCATAGTTATTTGTAGGCCTGATCAATTGTTCCGGAACTTATTGCGATAAACGATAAAATTGTTGTTTTGAAACCATTTTTAAGTAACATAATGGTAACAGCAAAATAATAATGCAAGAACACATTCTCAAAGATCAGTTAACTTTAAATTCTAGGGAACTTTTAACACTAGAGCCGGACAACATTTTAAATATCCAAAATAAATAAATAAAACAACAAATAAAATGAATTCTGAAGTCTAAACAAAATGGTCCTTCCAAAAAAGGGCGAGTTTAGACCAAACTGAAACCTTTTATCCTCCAGTTTTTGGTAGAAAGAGAAGAAAACCAGATAAATGATAAATCAGGAAATTATTGAGTTTGTTTTAACTTATCATGTGATTAATTGATTTATTGATAATCATCACAGGTCTGGTTATGTTAGCATGCTCTGCTTGCTGCTAGAAAGGCTAACACATTTTCTGCACGGCTATTCTGCACTATATTGATATATATTGCATTACAAAAACACAATTTGGATTGTGGAGAGAATAAGAAGGACGAATACATATTGACAAAATTAATAATATTATGGGGAAAAATGAAACTGGACGTTGTGACTTTTGTCAGAGTATAGAAATCGTGAACCATGTTTTCTTGGACTGTTGTAAATACCCAGCTGAAAGGAAACCAAATGGCAACTGAAGTTCCCAGCAGATATTTAACACAAAGAGATTCGATTGTGATAAAATAGAAAAAGGAAAAAAATAGATAGATGAGTTGCAGTAAATATTCGGGGGAAGAAACGATCCAGAGAGAGGAGGCAAGAAAGTTATTAGGTTAGTTTGACAGATGGAAAGTTTAGCTCAGCAGAGGAAGAAAAATCTACCAGCAGGAAAAAATCAAACGAAGATTTTCTTTGCCAACAAGATTGCCTTCAGTAGCAGATACACACAACTCAATATCCTGCCGGGAGGAGCGCGATTTAAACCTAAACACACAGAGCATGCAGGCAGGGGGTGAAATAAAGGGAACCTTAATGAATCTTAAAAATAAAGATGCTGCAGGGTTAGGAGCCTAAATCAATCCCGAGAAACATCCAATTATCTTCAAACATGGAGCAGAGAGAAACCAAGCTAAAGGAACAAAAAATAAACAGGTAGAGGTTTATGTTGAACTGGTTAGGAAGAAGGAAACCAGATAATATACAGAGTTGACAAACAATGGGGAAATAACGATCGGTAGTAGCCACACAGGCACGCCCACTAGAAGGAAACAAACGCACCCTGTGCAACACTTTCATTCTATTGGCTGAGAAGTTGCCAGGCGACGGTACTTTTTTTGTTCCGAGCGAACAGAGACAAGTTTTGAGCGCGAGGAGAAAGGTTTGAGAAAGCAGTGAATATTTGAAAGAGAGCAGAAGTTTTGAGTGGAAGCATTACAGGTTCTGAGAAGAAAAACATGAAGCTTGCTTTCAAACTGAAAACGTTAGCACAACCATTGAAAACTTTGAGAACAAATCCTGCTTTCAAACTGAAAACGTTAGCACAACCATTGAAAACTTTGAGAACAAATCCTGCTTTCAGACTGAAAACGTGCGCTCAGAAAAATCCCCCCATAACAAATCACATTTACAAATAATTGTGCAACCCGTTTTGAACAACAGCCATATATTAATATAAAATGTTACTACTATAATATAGAAATAACCAGCAAACAGCTACATTAAGCATAATCACTATTTTCTTTCACTTTAAAGTGACCTTTTTAGTTTAACAAGCAAAACAAGGAGCTGTTGAAAATAACAAAAGCGTTCCAGTTTTTCCTCATTGTTTGATATACATTAGTTTATAAAACCACCGTATTCCTACATATTTTATTCAAATGTCCTGATTTGATGCCATTAGCAGTGAGTGACATGCAATATCTTGTATATAGTTTGACGACTTCTTTGTTATTCTCTATTTTCTGCTGCAGCTGTGTGATTTATATTTGCTTTAGGTTAAATCACGACCTGAGGTGTTTGTTGTCACCTTTCTGTTGCTCATAAAGTTGTAATTTGCATTAAATAGCTTGGAAAAATATAACTACTACCCCCGTGAAAGTTTTTAAAATATAATAAATGCTGTGGGAAGGAACAAATTGGAGAGCAAAAGTGAGATTAAGAGGCAGCTGAGAGCAGGTTATGGATCGCATAAACATTTTTTTAAAGGGTGTAAAGAGTGCTGGCATAAAATCTGAAAATAAAAATGTTGTGAATCTCAGAGTAAGCAGATGTTCTCTCTTTGTGGAAAAGTGAGGCACAACTCATCTTCTGGCTGTTGTGATTGTTTTTTCCAAGTTTAGGAATACTGTTGGAACAGATGGTGGTTCTGCATGCATGATGTTTGAAAGTTTATTCACGTTTTGTGTTAGATTGTTGGGCGTTTGACATACAAATCAGATTGTGAGAGATTTCTGGTACCTCAAGGTTTGATGTTAGGACCCATCATTTTTTCATCACCACCCAAAGAACTAAATCCTAAATTAGTTTTTAGTCTTTCTAATTTAAGTTCAGAAAGACTTTTCTTTCCAAACAGGCTTTTAACTAAATCAAGTAACACAGTTATGATGACACGTTTTCAGTTTTCTGCCATTATGTCTGTTTTTTATGTTTGAAACACTTGTTTGAGTTTGTCTGTGATGTATAAATAAAAACAACTTAATTAGAATATATATTTAAATCCCATCTCTAACTGTGCAGGGGAGATTTAAATAAAAAAGTAATTTTTTATTAAAGTTTAAAGTTTAAGTAAATGAACTGCTGAAAATTGAATCTTTACAAAACAAAAGCAAAAGAAATAAAAGGAAAATGAAATGAAAACAGCTAATCTAAAACCTCATATTTATTCACTTATTTTTTAATTATCTAATTATATTTATTCATAAGTGTAGTTAATTATATATTGACTTATTATTTACCTCTATGTCTGTGATTTGTATTTATTTATTCTTATTCTGTGTTTCTTTCAGAATTGCTGTTTCTTTAAATTTTCTTGTGCTTTATTCGTGCACAATGACATTAAAAGAAATTCAGATTTTGATTCTCAGCATCAACAACACAAAATAATCTATGTTTGAGATTAATTTGATTTTTTTTTTAAATTACCAGTGGATTAACCCAGAAGAAACTGATTCATAAATAAATTCCTACTTTACCTTGTTTGGTACGTTTCTGGATTTAGAAATTACAAAAAAAAAATTATCTTGATTATTCATATGCATCATCGAGGTGATGATTTAATCTGGAAATCGACTAGAGATTAACAAACCTTGGTCTCTGCTAAAATGATAAAACATTCTTCTTTTACTTGAGAGGTAAAATAATCTCCCTAAAACACTTTGTTCCCTTTTTATTCAATCTTCAAATACCGACTGTCAAAATTAGTTACATAAATGTTTCACACATCTGCTTCCTGTTTTTGTTTTGCCCAAAAGACTTTTAATTGCTTTACGCTCTTTTGTGAAGCACATATTATATTGGCTTATCTGAAAACGGTGCTGAAAGAGAAAAACTGTATTTTGTCATGAAAACTGCTTAAAGAGGAGCAGTTCTTCATCACACTTCAGCTGCCGCCTTCAGCTTCAAAAACTTCCCATTTCATGTGTTTCGTTTTCTGCACCAGAAGCATTTAAAGGATAAATCTGCTTTGCAGGCAGGCAATTTTTGCATTTTTTAATTCTCAGATGGGCTTAAAGTGAATGAAAAGAATTTGTACCAGGTATTCCTTTTGCAGCAGGTGCTGAGAAATGTCGCTAAAATTTTAATTGGATTTCACATTTTCAATGGGAAAATACCCACAGTTGGAATCAAAATTGCAGTTTTTAGTGTAAAAAAGTTATTTGCAGATGACAGTTTATGTCTTTGTGAGGTTAAATTTTATTTACTGCCACGACTCCTTTGTAAAACATGTTTTTTTTTCTTATTTTAAAAAGTCTGTGCAGATCAACAGAGTAATAAATCTGTAAACTTGAGTAAGTAAACTCACTCCGCTCAGGTTGACGTCTCTTTTGCCTCCTCTGGAGAATCGGCTGGTCAGCTGGTACAACACGGTGCGTCCGTGTTTTCTGGCCTCGCGGAAGTGAGAGCTGCTCTTCCTCCTGTACCTGTTGTCTTCTGAAAGAAATATGAGGAGAATTACATTAAAAAAATTTTTTCCTGCTTATTGCACACAAATAAAAGCTTTGGGATTTGTTTGACTGCCAGTCAAATTCCTGTTTGGAAACAGTTGAAGGATTTCCAGGCTGAACCAAACAGTGTGAAAATAAAGGCAGGCGGTAAACTGAACTAATATTATTATTATTGTTATTGTTTAACTTACCACCCCTCTTGCTGCTGTGATGCCCCTTCCCATAGCTGTCGGTGATGTCCTTGAATGAGAAGAGGAAGAGAACCATTTCGCCCTTTTCGTTTTTTATGGGCACAATGTCCAGCAGACACCAGAAGGCCACACCTAAAGCAAATCAGAAAGATTCATTTAGTGCAAGTATTTGTTTTCCCACGTTGGCGAACAAAAGGGAAGTCTTCATTAGTTAAGGATAAGCAGCTCTTAAATGTAGCGTATAATGAATTTTTGTTTCTATTTCTAAAATCAGGACATCTATGACAGAAAGGTCTACTTACAATATGTAAATAATTGATTGAGCAATCTAACTCAATCAATCATTTACTTGAATAAGTTTCTAACTTAGCATCCCAAAAAAAGTGATTTTGATTATAAAAAGCTACAAAAACAATCACAAAATCCTGGTGGGAGAACTATTTATTAATATTTTAACAGTTAAAGGGATTTTATCAATACATTCTGGCACAACCGGCCCTTTAAGAGCATTCAGATTTTTGATATGGCCCAAAATGAACCTGAGTTTGACACACCTGTTTTAAAGAATGACCCACAAAGTGGCCGAATTCATAGGTTCACAGAGGGAAGGAGAACCAAAAGATCCAAGACGTCACCAGGATCCAGTTTGGTCAAGAAGGTGGAGAAATGATGCTCTGCTGCAACGCAGATGTTTTATGTCTCCTGTAGTGCTTCTGGTGTGTTTGTTTATGTGTAAGAAAACACTATAAATTGCAGTGTTTGTGCAGAAAATGAAGTTCTGTCAGTCTGACGGCTGCAGCACACAGCGTGCGTCACAAACATCTGCTCTGCTGGCTTTGATCTGCTCTGCTTCTCCATTCTCCAACAAGAACTCTTTAATGGTCGGTTTAAATTATTTTAAGGACTTTTAGAAGATTAGAAGAGAAGGCACTTAGCTACAGTGGATATTTTGCAACCCATTAGCGCGCCTCACATTTTGAGGCAGCAGGTTTCTGTTGAACACGTATAATCCTGCGTGCCACTCATTGAGGCTTAACACGTCTATGGTATATGCTCTCTGCTCATGCATGACACCATGTTTTCAGCTCAAGACTTCCCAGAGAATTAGCAAAATGCCAGCAGGAATGGAGTTCAGATCAAGACAGAACGGAGAACCGTTGTTCTTTCGTCAAAAAGTTTGATTAGCAGGCAGAAAACAAGCGGAAACTCTTATTTGTACGACATCTTTAATTCCCTTCGGCACTTCTTCCGGTCGCTAATAAGATTCACATTTTCTCAATCATCTGATTGTTTTTGTGCTGATGAGCATGAATATTCTCTCCAAAAGATCACTGTTAAGAAATCTTGCATTCATAATTGAAACGAACCGTTAAAACGGTCTTGTCTAAAAATAAATGTCTGAATCATGATGCAGAGAGCAAAACTGAATCATGCCTGATCAGGGTAGTTAAACAACATTGAATTTATTTCTTTATATTTTGCTTCCAAGGTGCTATACTTTTATAAAATCATATTGATCAAAATTAAGCTGATAAACAGATTTAGCACACTCAACAGCCACCTTGCTAGAACTGGGTTGGACCCCCTTTTGCCTTCAGAACTGCTGTTCACATCTATATATTTTCTCTTTTTCTGACCATTCTGTCTAAACCCTGGAGATGGTTGTGTGTGAAAATCCCAGTATATCACCAGTTTCTGAAATAGTTAGACCAACAACCACGCCATGTTCATTTAAATCACCTTTCTTTCCCATTTTCATGTAGATCCCAATAAAGTCAGTCTCCATACAGAATTTAGAAATGTGCATCTCTTCATCCTGTTTCTACGCACTCACCATTCTTTTTGTAGAAGTGAACTTCAGTCTGGTACTCTTCCCGTCCCTCCAGAGCCTTCTCTATCTGCTGGGCCACGTGTTCGCAGGTGTCAGCGCCGTGAAGGAAGCGACAGGTGCAGTTCTTCTGCATCACCTCGGCGCGAGTGAAGCCAGTCAGCTCACAGAAGCCATCAGAGCAGTAAACGATGGGGTAGCCGCGGTGGCCCTGGGCATTACCCAACAAGAAATTACTGTCTGTGAAGGGAACATGAGAAAGTAAGGAGGTGTAAGAAGAGAAAACATTTCTTTATATTTGACTCAGTTTGTCTTTTTTTTTTTAACCTCTGAGAACCTCTACATATTTAACTAAACTGGAAATAATTCAGGTGAAATGCGTACATACACCAACATGAATGTCGTATAATTTTGGAGGTCAATATTTTCTGTCGTAATCCAAAAGCACACATTTTCAGTCTCAAGGCTGGATTTCATATGTTTTGTTTTCAAAACTTATAATACTTTTGCTTACATTTTCATTTTGAAAGCAGGACTTTATGTCTTTCTTCTCAAAACTTGTAATGCTTGTACTCAAAACTTCTCCTCGCACTCAGACCTGGTCTCTCCTCAGACTCTCTGCTCATTTATGAAACATTAAAATGCCTTTTGGCAGAGTCGCTTGGCAACCTCTCAGCCAACAGAATGATAGCCTTACGCTGGGTGCGTTTGTTTCCTTCTAGCGGATGTACCTGTGTGGCTACTGTCGATTGTAGCAACCTGTGCCACCTACTGGATGTAGGGAGAAACAACAACGTCAAATTTCTGCTCCTTAGTGAATTAAACATCCGCCTGCAGTGTGATACTGATCGCTAATAGCTTCTGATTTTTGGCAGGATTTTATTCACCCAACTGAAGATATATCTGTATATATAGATCGATCTGTCTATCTAGTTGCTTATATATTATTTATAAACTATGAGTAGAAAATCATAGCAATTAACAAAAATAAAGGCATCAGTCTGAGTAATTAATCTATACAATTAAATATCACTGTATAATTTTTTTCTCTGTAACTGCAGATATTTCAAAGTAAAAATCTGAGGATTTTTTTTCTGTTTGTTTTCAGATTACTGAGCCGTGTCTGCTGCACAGCACCAGTCCTTTGTTCTAGGATCTCCTCCCAGTCACTCCAGGCTGCTGCCCTCAGATTTGATATTTTTGTTCTGAATATCATAATTTATTCATCCATCCTATGGCTGGAATTTGATATTGTTCTCTCCCACTGATCGTAATAAACTACAGGACGGTGGCCATTTGTCTTTAAGTGTAGAAAGTTTATCAATGTTGCAATTTTGATTGAATGTTTATATCAAGAATTAAAAGAAGTATTTCTGATTCTTAGAGCACTTTCTTAAACTTGACCATTTTCAAATCCTAAATATAAATGAAATCTGTCTCGTTTCTGTTTCGACTGAAGAACACATTCAGGCTGTTCATTGTTTGAATGTCAACCTACTGGAAAAATACCAACAGCTACTTGTGACGTGTCGAAGCCTGCTGGTCGTTGTCCGAGTGGCTCATAATTACAGTTTAGCCCTTAAAATTGATTTAAAAGCATGTGAATTTTTCAAAAGGGTAAACGAGTAGCAACCAGCTTATGCTCATGTGATGACAGGTAACTATTTTTGCATATTTTTGCATAATGCAACTGTGTGTAAACCTTTTAAATGTAAATGATGGCATTGTTATTTTCATTTACAACTCCAGGAAAGAATGCAAAGCAATGGAAAAGCTTAAAAATTATTTACCATTGCAGCATTTTCACTAATTATAAATCAATTTATTTTACTGGGATGTTACATGACATGTAAAATAAGATGTATATACACACAGAAAGAAAATGTGCCACATATTTGAATTTATTTGTATTTAGTTTACCTTGCAAGCTTTAAACTTTTAAAATAATATTGTTAAAGTGCCATGGGTTTGTTGGGACCACAGCTAATAAATACTAAGAAGAAATATATTTTACAGACAATAACAGTAAGGAACTTATCACTTATTTATGTTTTTAATTAGATTTTATTTTAAATATTTATTTCTTCAATATTATTTTTCATGTCGGTGTTAATGTCATGAGGCTGTTCAATGACTCCATGACACTTTCACTCTGACTCATTAGGATTTGACTAAGAACCAGAGTCCAGTAAAACTATCAATCTATAAATCAATAGTCAGGTCTATATAAAGATATAATCCACGTTTCTGTCCCATATTTGTTTGGCACTAAAAGGATCTGCAGCTTTTGTTTTTCCAATGAAAGCTCTGGTTCACGCCGTAAACGCCATGTGGGTGAAGTTTTATGGCTGATACTCTGATGTCCCATTCTCCTGAAGGCAGCACAGAGCTGCAACGCCAGAAACTGACAGAAATATTGGAGAGAAGAAGAGTTGTGATTTACATAGTTGGAGTTCTAGCCATGTTTTAATATCGCAGAGCTCAGTCTCAAAGTTTAAACTTGCATTGTTGTACATCTTTTATCTGGTCATTTTGTGTAATATTTAACAAGAAAATGGCGCAGAACAAGAATATTTTTCCACTCTGACTGGCTGCTGAAAGGCCTGCTGATTTTAAGTCGAATGTCCATCCATTGCATTTTTCTTAGACGCCATCAAAAATTATTTCTATTCGCATTGCTTTTTTGACGATAACTCCAGAAAGAACCATAAAAATCAAAACAATAGTGATATTAATAATAAAATAATATTCAGTGAAAAGTAGGCTACATATTCTTTGATGGGGGGCAGTAAGAGACCTGGATAATGGATAGGTTGAGAAATAATTCCTGCCAACATCACTCTGGCAATTATCTATGCTGCCCATATCAAAAAACAGGTTTGTTTATTTTAACTTCTGGATAAATTGTTGCCACTTCTTTCTTAGATTTTTCTTTTTTCTGGTATTATTTATATCCTTTTAACTATTCTTTTTAAAGTGTTTGGCTGTGAGCACAACAGTTTGACCCCAAACACATGAAATGAGTCTAGATGTTGCTATTCTGTATTTTCCGGACTATAAGACGCTCCGGAGTATAAGTCGCATTTTTGGGGGAAATTTATTTGATAAAATCCAACACCAAGAATAGACATGTCATCTTGAAAGTCAATAAAAATAGAGGCAACAACAATTGTACGGTAATGTTACATGACAGACAACAAACTGAGAACGTGCCTGGTATGTTAACATAACATATTAAGAGTTATTCAGATAACTATAGCATAAATAACATGCTAATAAGTTTACCAAACCATCTGTGTTTCTCCAATTCACTAAACGCAATAGAATCTTCGACCTCCATGTCGCTTGTAAAAAACTTTCCTAACTCCAAAGGTAGAATAACAAACAGGCCTAGAGCGCCCTCTTGCGGTTTAGTGTGAAAATAACATGTGATATGATATAATGATGTGTTAATTTCCACACATAAGTCGCTCCGGAGTGTAAGTCGCACCCCTGGTCAAACTATGAAAAAAACTGCGACCTATAGTTCGGAAAATACGGGCATTGTTTTTTTTCTTGGGGTTTATTCTCCAGAAATCCCAAGAATAGAGCTGTAATAAGGCTTAATTTTGCAGGAGACAGTAGCAACTCCCTCAATCGGTATTTTTACTTCCAGTGCTGCAAGTTCAGAATAAGGATTGCCCCAGAAACAATAACTGAATGAGATGTGACCCCAAAAGACAGGCTGTGAGAGAAGCGTGCCCTGTTTTTATGTTCTATAAATTCCTCACACCGCAGCTCACTGAACCAGCATGTGCTGGAGAGCAGCCGCATTCATCTCAGCTTTATGCAATGCTTACCCAAGAATAGCTACGTCGCTACTCAGCAAGTTAAATTGGTACTTTAAACAGGACAAAAACTGACTTAGCTATAAATCATCTTGTTTCAAAACCACAAGAGTTTTAAAAACTTTTGTGCTGAGCTTGGAGTAATGTGGAGTTCAACGCTTTCCAGACAGGATTACTTACTTTGACTTTGATTCAAGAAACTTTCATTCAAACTATATTTTTTAATAAAGTCAGCAACCAGTTTGATTGTAAGAAATAACTCAACTAAACTTCACTTTATTTTTGCCATTGAGTAGAAGAACAAAGCCGAATAAAACCAATTTATAAGCCATCAATCAGATCCCAAAACGTTTTGACACAAGAATAATCAAGAATGTGATTAGAGGATTTAAAAATCAAAAATAACTTACAGATATGACACAAGGAGAACAAGAACATGGACTAACAAATCCAGTGATGCACAATAAAATCGATGGAAACAGGTGAGGCTAATGAAGGGAAAACAAAACAGCTGGAGGAGAAAACACAAAACAAACCACGCAAAGGAAATTAACTAATATGGAAGACCTTAAGTGACAATAATAGCCCAAAAAAATAATCTGAATAGAAACACAGATCATATCACCCCACAGGAGTTTTCTTAGAAATATTATAAAATGTATGTGATGGTTTTCTCTTTGGAACTTGACATTATAGTTTCATTTAACTTACCAGATACTTTACAGAGCTTACCAGGTGCTTTGTACAACTTTCTCTACTTTCCTTGAAATTTCTGGATAATGTCAAGATGCAAAATAATTTAGATGCTTGTATCATATAAACAGGAAATAATTGTTTTGAAATCTTGTACTTATTACACCTCTTTCTATTTTCTCTAAATTAAATTTACTATTATAGCCATTATTGCTTTAAAAACCAACTTCCTCAGTCCAGTGAACATATTTTTGTTTTTTGCTAAGTAAAGTCATTACTAAATGCTGTTATAAACTCCATAAAGTGAACAATTGAAGGTAACATAGTTACTTGTACTGATGTGCCTGGAAAACACATAATATATCCCCTTTTTTGTTTTGACATAAAGGTTCATCATAGCAAAGAAAGACATGCAGAACAATCCCATTGTCAGCAGATGTTTATATATGTATGTTTTCTACAGCAACATACTTATTTCTCCTCTTGTAGCTCAACTTGAACAACCAATCCAGTCCTCACATGAACCACTTGATGAACTGTTTCAGCTTGTGCGTCTCGTTGCGACAACTTCTCACTACTGGATCCATAATCCTCTCAGGGATATTGCTTCGAGTGTCCACTCAGCTGCACCAGCTTCCTTAATTACACATCTGTGCTGACTCGCAGCAACTTTAATCTGACATGATGATGCTACATGCTAGCACGCAGCCTGGAGTGCAC